GTCCTGGTCCTGGTTTAGTCCTGGTTTAGTCCTTTAGTCCTGGTTTAGTCCTGGTTAGTCCTGGTTTAGTCCTGGTTTAGTCCTGGTTTAGTCCTGGTTTAGTCCTGGTTTAGTCCTGGTTTAGACCTGTTTAGACCTGGTTTACCTGGTTTAGTCCTGGTTTTGACCTGGTTTAGTCCTGGTTTAGTCCTGGTTTAGTCCTGGTTTAGTCCTCTTTCTCACAGGTCCGTGTTTTGATTCAGACTTTTTGTTGGACGTTTCAGAAGAATCCGTTTGATTGACAGCTGCTTTCAGACCCTCCCGTCCTTCATCTTCCTCCTTTTGTGTTGGTTTGTTTTGGAGCCCCCAGCCTCTTCCTCCTCTTCTCCTCTTCCTCTCCTCCTCCTCCTCTTTCTCTCCTCTTCTTCTTCTTCTTCTTCTTCTTCTTCTTCTTCTCTCCGTGTGATGTTCAGTGTGTGTTTTTCTGGCCTCACACTTCTGCATTAAACATCTGCTCTGTGTTTGAGTTTGAGCGACAAACCTGGAAACTTCCACCGACTCAGAGTCTGGATGTGTGAAAGAGTAAGAGTAGTAGTAGTAGTAGTAGTAGTAGTAGTAGTAGTAGTAGTAGTAGTAGTAGGAGTAGTAGTAGTAGTAGTAGTAGTAGTAGTAGTAGTAGTAGTAGTAGTAGTAGTAGTAGTAGTAGTAGTAGTAGTAGTAGTAGTAGTAGTAGTAGTAGTAGTAGTAGGAGTAGGAGTAGTAGTAGTAGTAGTAGTAGTAGTAGTAGTAGTAGAGTAGGTAGTAGTAGTAGTAGTAGTAGAGTAGTAGTAGTAGGAGGAGTAGTAGTAGTAGTAGTAGTAGGTAGTAGTAGTAGAGTAGTAGTAGTAGTAGTAGTAGTAGTAGTAGTAGAGTAGTAGTAGTAGTAGTAGTAGTAGTAGTAGTAGTAGTAGTAGGAGTAAGAGTAGTAGTAGGGAGTAGTAGTAGTAGTAGTAGTAGTAGGAGTAAGAGTAGTAGTAGTAGTAGTAGTAGTAGTAGTAGTAGTAGTAGTAGTAGTAGTAGGTAGTAGTAGGTAGTAGTAGTAGTAGTAGGAGTAAGAGTAGTAGTAGTAGGAGTAGTAGTAGTAGTAGTAGTAGTAGTAGTAGTAGTAGAGTAGTAGAGTAGTAGTAGTAGTAGTAGGAGTAGTAGTAGTAGTAGTAGTAGTAGGTAGTAGGAGTAGTAGTAGTAGTAGTAGTAGTAGGCAGTAGTAGGAGTAGAAGCAATTGTAGTAGCAGTAGTAGTAGCTGTAGTTGTTGTAGTTGTGGCCAATGTAGTAGTAGTAGTAGTACTTGTTGTTGTTGCTGTAATAGTACTAGTAGTAGTAGCAGCAGTAGTTATAGTTGTAGAAATTGTAGTAAGAGTAGTAGTTGTAGTTGTAGTTGTAGTAGTAGTAGTAGTAGTAGTAGTTGTTATTATTGTAGTTGTTGTAGTAGTAGTTGTTGTTGTAGTATCAGTTGTAGTTGTAGTAGCTGTAGTAGTAGTTATAGTAGTTTTAGTAGTAGTTGTTGTTGCTGTAGTGGTTGTAGTAGTAGTAGCAGAAGCAGTAGTTGTAGTAGTTGTTGTTGTTGTAGTAGTAGCAGTACTAGTTGTAGTACCAGTTGAAGTACTAGTTGTAGTGCTAGTTGAAGTACTAGTTGTAGTACTAGTTGAAATAGTCATAGTTGTAGTAAGAGTCGTAGTTGTAGTATTTTGTGGTTATTGTAGTTGTAGTAGTAGTATTTGCAAATTTAAACCTATACACAAAAACAGCTGAAACTGAAAACACTCTGTTCCACCTTGTGATGTCATTGAGTGGTGATACAGGAAGTGCTCCACTGTGTTTCTAAACTCCACTCACCTTCACTAGAATCATCTGGATCCGTTTTTTCAGGCAAACGGAGCCGTTCAATTGAAAACTCCCACTTCATGACATCACGAGGTGCGATTTTGGGTAATATTAGACCTTTAAACGACTTTTAAAACTTAAATCAGTTCCAGTTTGATTGTGTTTTTTTAATGAACGCACGTGAACTTTGGACATTTCCAGATCACATTTCCGTGTTAATGAGGAGAATGTGCATCTGTGTCTCCTGTGTGTGTTTTTCTCGAGGCCAAATCCTGCTCCAGATCCTGCGCCCCGAACACTCGCCGCTCGTCTTTATCTGCGTGACATTTACGATTCTGTTGAAAACGTCTCGTGAGTCGGTGTCGGTCTCACCTCAGAATCACACCGAGAGAAAAAATAAACACGTCGCGTGAAAAGACGGAAATACACGAGCGGTTTTTGGCTCCTGTTCGTGACTGTGAAAATACTCTGTGGGTTACAACTTCAGCTGAGGCAAAAAAAAGTACTGGAGCTGGAGATGTACTTGTAGTAGTAGGAGTAGGAGTAGTAGTAGTAGTAGTAGTAGGAGTAGGGTGTAGTAGGTAGGAGAGTAGTAGTAGGAGGAGTAGGAGTAGTAGTAGTAGTAGTAGGAGGTAGTAGTAGTAGTAGTAGTAGGAGTAGGAGTAGTAGGAGTAGTAGTAGTAGGAGTAGTAGGAGTAGGAGTAGTAGTAGTAGTAGGAGTAGTAGAGTAGTAGTAGGAGTAGTAGTAGGAGTAGTAGTAGTAGGTAGTAGTAGTAGTAGTAGTAGGAGTAGTAGGAGGAGGAGTAGTAGTAGTAGTAGTAGTAGTAGTAGTAGGTAGTAGGAGTAGGAGTAGTAGTAGTAGGAGTAGGAGTAGGAGTAGGAGTAGTAGTAGTAGTAGGTAGTAGGAGTAGTAGGAGTAGTAGTAGGAGTAGGAGTAGTAGGAGGAGTAGTAGTAGTAGTAGTAGTAGGTAGTAGGAGTAGGAGTAGTAGGAGTAGGAGTAGGAGTAGTAGTAGTAGGAGTAGGTAGTAGTAGTAGTAGGAGTAGGAGTAGTAGTAGTAGTAGGAGTAGTAGGAGTAGTAGTAGTAGTAGGAGTAGTAGTAGGAGTAGTAGTAGGAGTAGTAGAGGAGGAGTAGTAGTAGTAGAGTAGTAGTAGTAGGAGTAGTAGGAGTAGGAGTAGTAGTAGTAGGAGGAGGAGGAGTAGAGTAGTAGGAGTAGTAGTAGAGTAGTAGGAGAGTAGTAGTAGTAGGAGTAGTAGGAGTAGGTAGTAGGAGTAGGAGTAGTAGTAGTAGGAGTAGTAGTAGTAGTAGAGGAGGAGTAGTAGTAGTAGTAGTAGGAGTAGTAGTAGGAGTAGGAGTAGGAGGAGGAGTAGTAGGAGGAGTAGTAGTAGTAGTAGTAGTAGTAGGAGTAGGAGTAGTAGGAGTAGTAGTAGTAGGAGTAGTAGGAGTAGTAGTAGTAGTAGGAGTAGGAGTAGGAGTAGTAGGAGTAGGAGTAGGAGTAGAGTAGTAGGTAGTAGTAGTAGTAGTAGGAGTAGTAGTAGTAGGTAGTAGTAGTAGGAGTAGTAGTAAGTAGAGGTAGAGTAGTAGGAGAAGTAGTTGGAGTAGTAGTAGGAGTAAGTAGTTGGAGTAGTAGTAGTAGTAGGAGAGTAGGAGTAGGAGTAAGTAGTAGTAGGAGTAGTAGTAATAGGTAGTAGTAGGAGAAGTAGTTGGAGTAGTAGTAGGAGTAGTAGGAGAGTAGTAGTAGTAGGAGTAGTAGTAGGAGTAGGAGTAGGAGAGTAGTAGGAGGAGTAGTAGTAGGAGAAGTAGTAGGAGTAGTTGTAGTAGTTGTTGTAGTAGCAGTTGTAGTTATACTCAGGGTAGTAGTTGTATTTGTAGTCGTTGTATTTGAAGTAGTCATACTAAGACTTATGTAGTAGTAGTAGTAGTGGTTGTTGTTTTTGTAGTGGGAGTAGTAGTAGTTGAAGTAGTACTTGTTTTTGTTGTTGTAGTAGTTGTAATGCTTGTTGTTGCTGCAGTACTCGTAGTAGTAGCAGCAGCAGTCATAGTTGTAGAAGTTGTTGTAAGAGCAGTAGTGTAGTAGTAGTACTTGTTCTCGTTGCTGCTGTAGTAGTTGTAGTAGCAGCAACAGTCATAGTTGTAGTAGTTGTAGAGGTTGAAGTAAGAGCAGTAGTAGTTGTAGTTCCTGTTGTTCTGTTGTTGTTGTTGTTGCAGTACTACTTGAAGTAGTAGTTGTAGTGCTAGTTGAAGTAGTAGTAGTAGTAGTAGTAGTAGTTGTTGTCATTGTCTTTGTAGTTGTAGTAGTTGTTGTAGTAGCAGTTTTAGTTGTACTAAGGGTAGTAGTTGTATTTGTAGTCGTTGTAGTTGTAGTAGTTGATGTTGCAATAGTTGTAGTACTAGTTGAAGTAGTCGTACTAAGACTTGCTGTAGTTGTAGTAGTAGTAGTAGTAGTTGTTGTTGTTTTGTAGTGGGAGTAGTAGTAGTTGAAGTAGTACTTGTTTTTGCTGTTGTAGTAGTTGTAATGCTCGTTGAAGTACTACTGCTACTACTACTACTACAAAAGTTGTAGTAGTAGTACTTGTTGTTTCTGTACTAGTTGTAGTAGTAGTAGTAGATGTTGCTGTAATAGTTGTAGTACTAGTTGAAGTAGTAGTTATAGTCTTAGTTGAAGTAGGTGTAGTACTAGTTGAAGTAGTCATACTAAGACTTACTGTAGTTGTAGTAGTAGTAGTAGTAGTTGTTGTTTTTGTAAGTAGTAGTAGTAGTTGAGTAGTAGTTGTATAGTAGTTCAATAGTTGTGTACAGAGTAGTAGTTTTAGTTAGTAGTTGTAGTAAGTAGTAGTAGTAGTATAGTTGTAAGTAGTAAGTTGTAGTAGTTGTAAGTTGTAGTAGTTGTAGTAGTAGTTTTGTTACTTAAGTAAAAATACAGATACCAGGGCAAAATGAAGTAAAGTAAAAGTATCACAGAAATAAAAACGTACTATTTAATAATAATTAAAAAAAAAAACAATAATAGAAATACTTTTAGTCCAAATCTAAAATGTAGTGCAGTAGAAAGTACAGATACTTGCTTTCAAATGTAGTGAAGTAAAAGTAAAAAGTATCTAGTACAGATACTTTGAATGTATACTTAAATGCAGTACTTACGTGTGTTGTTGTTTTGCAGAGTGTCACACTTCCTGCTCCGAGTGTCGTGGTCCGTCTGAAGACCAGTGTGTGTCCTGCTCCCGCCTCACCCCCCTCCTCCACCAGGGGCGCTGTGTGTCCCACTGCCAGACCGGATACTACGCACGAGAAAACACCTGCCACGGTAAAAACACCAGGACTGAACCAGGACTAGACCAGGACTAGACCAGGACTAAACCAGGACTAAACCAGGACTAAACCAAGAAAACACCTGCCACGGTAAAAACACCAGGACTGAACCAGGACTAGACCAGGACTAAACCAGGACTAAACCAAGAAAACACCTGCTACGGTAAAAACACCAAACCAGGAACCAGACAGGACTAGACCAACGGTAAACACCAAGATAGACCAGGACGGACTAAAAAACACCTGCACGGTAAAAAACACCAGGACTGACTAACCAGGACTGAACCAGGACTAGACCAGGACTAAACCAGGACTAAACCAGGACTAAACCAAGAAAACACCTGCAGAAAGACCAGGACTGAACCAGGACTAACCAGGACTAAACCAGGACTAAGACCACACCAGCCAACAGGACCACCTAGACCAGGACTAGACCAGGACTAACCAGGACTAAACCAGGACTAAACCAAGAAAACACCTGCTACGGTAAAAACACCAGACCTGAACCAGGACTAGACCAGGACTAGACCAGGACTAGACCAGGACTAAACCAGGACAAACCAAAAAACACCTGCCGGACTAAAACACCAGACTAAACCAGGACTTAAACCAGGACTAAGACCAGGACTAAACCAGGACTACTAAACCAGACTAAACCAAGAAAACACCTAACCAGGCTACGGACTAAAAACACACAAAACTGAACCAGGAGACAGGACTAAACCAGGACTAAACCAGGACCAGGACTAAACCAGGACTAAACCAGGACTAAACCACCAGGAAAACACCTGAACGGTAAAAACCAAGACTGAACCAACTAAACCAGGACTAAACCAGGACTAAAACAGGACTAACTAAAACCAAACTCAGGACTAAACCAGGACTAAACCAACCAGGGAACTAAACCAGGACTAAACCAGGACTAAACCAAGAAAACACCTGCTATGGTAAAAACACAAGAACTGAACCAGGACCAAACCGGGAAGAAAACCGGGAACTAGACCGGGACTGAACCAGGACAAAACCAGAACTAAACCAAAGACTAAACCAGGACTAAACCAGGACTAAACCAAGGACTAAACCAGGACTAAAATAGGACTAAATCAGGACTAGATCAGACCTACACCTCGTGTTGATGAGGAGGAGACGACTTAATCCAAAAATAAAAGTGTGTGTTTATTTCCTGGGGGAGAGTCTTGTGTTCCAGGCCTCAGTGCACAACATCCATAATTCATCTGCATTATTCACATCCACATTAATATTCACACACAAACGAGGGAGACGCTAATTACAGCGTCCTGCCCGAGCCGAGTCGAGTCTACAGCGAGCCGAGAAACAGAAACACCGAAACACCGAGAGAAACACCGAGCCGAGTCTAACACGAGCCGAAACACCGAGCCGAGTCTACCGAGAAACCGAGAAAACACGAGAAACAACGAGAAACACCGAGAAACACCGAGACAGACCGAGAAACACCGAGAAACACCGAGCCGAGTCTACAGACGAGAAACACCGAGGAAACACCGAGAAACAGAAAACACCGAGCCGAGTCTACAGACGCCGAGAAACACCGAGAAACACCGAGAAACACCGAGCCGAGTCTACAGACGCCGAGAAACACCGAGAAACACCGAGAAACACCGAGCCGAGTCTACAGACGCCGAGAAACACCGAGAAACACCGAGAAACACCGAGAAACACCGAGCTCGGATTACACCGGATTACACACACCGAGAACAAACACACAATCCACAGCACAATGGAAGGTCCTGTGGAGTGTCTTGTCTCATCTAGTTTAGCCCTGTTTTAGTCCTGTTTTAGACCTGTTTAAGTCCTGTTTTAGTCCTGTTTTAGTCCTGGTTTTAGTCGCTTTAGTTTTTAGTCCTGCTTTAGTCCTCCTGTTTAGTCCTGGTTTGTCCTTTTAGTCCTTGTTTAGTCCTGTTTTAGTTGTTGTTTTAGTCCTGTCGTTTTAGTCCTGTTTTAGTCCTGCTTTAGTCCTGATTTAGTCTCGTTTTAGTCTTGTTTTAGTCCTGCTTTAGTCTCGTTTTAGTCTTGTTTTAGACCTGCTTTAGACTTGTTTTAGTCCTGTTTTAGTCCTGTTTAGTCCTGTTTTTTGTTTTAGTCTTGTTTAGTCCTGCTTTCTTAGTTTTAGTGTTTTAGTCCTGTTTTGTTTTAGTCCTGCTTTAGTCTCGTTTTAGTCTCGTTTTAGTCTTGTTTTAGTCCTGTTTAGTCTTCTGTTTGTCTCTTTTAGTCTTGTTTTTAGTCTGCTTTTAGTCTTGTTTAGTCTGTTTTAGTCCGTTTTAGTCTTGTTTTAGTCTTGTTTTAGTCCTGCTTTAGTCTCGTTTTAGTCTCTTTAGTCCTTGTTTTAGTCCTTTTAGTCTGGTTTTTTAGTCCTTTGAGTTTTACCTTTAGTCTTGTTTGTTTTAGTCCTGGTCTTTTGTTTTAGTCCTGGCTTTTCTTGTTTTAGTCCTCTTGTTTTAGTCCTTAGCTTGTTTTAGTCCTGCTTTAGACCTGTTTTAGTCAGTCTTTGTTTTAGTCCTGCTTTAGTCTGTTTTAGTCTTGTTTTAGTCCTGGTTTCAGTCTTGTTTTAGTCCTGTTTTAGTCCTGCTTTAGTCTTGTTTTAGTCCTGCTTTAGTCTTGTTTTAGTCCTGCTTTAGTCTCGTTTTAGTCCTGCTTTAGTCCCGTTTCCATAGTGAAGCTGAACCGGATCTAAACGAGGACTAAACCAGGTCTAAAGCAGGACTAAACCAGGACTCAGACTTGACCCGGTGGCCCTTGTTAAACTTCAACTCGTAACGCGTCTTAAGTTGGACCCGTTGAACCTGTCGGAGCCGGAGGAGCCGGAGGAGCCGGAGGAGCCGGAGGGACACGCTCCAGCTTAAATGTGTCCGATGGGAAATGTCACTGAAACATCTTGTGAGTGTGGCCCCCGGGGGCCCGACACAGCGCCGGGGTTTTTGTCCCCTCCGGCGCATCGTAGGAGGAGCCGCGCTGGGATCAGGACGAGGAGACGGGCCTGTGCGGACATGTTTGTAGTTCAATAAGAAAAACAAAGTCTGGGTTTAAAGTCTGGTTAAAATGTAGGTCTGGACTAGAGCCAGAAGAGGACTAAAACAGGACTAAAAGAGGACTAAAACAGGACTAAAACAGGACTAAAACAGGACTAAAGAGGACTAAAACAGGACTAAAACAGGACTAAACCAGGACTAAACCAGGACTAAAACAGGACTAAAACAGGAGGACTAAACAGGACTAAAACCAGGACTAGGAAAACAGGACTAAAACAGGACTAACAGGACTAAACAGGACTAAAACAGGACTAAAACAGGACTAAAACCAGGACTAAAACCAGGACTAAAACAGGACTAAACCAGGACTAAAACCAGGACTAAAACCAGGACTAAAACAGGACTAAAACCAGGACTAAAACAGGACTAAAACAGGACTAAAACAGGACTAAAACAGGACTAAAACCAGGACTAAAACAGGACTAAACAGGACTAAAAAACCAGGACTAAAAGGACTAAAACAGGACTAAAGGACTAAAAACAGGACTAAAGGACTACTAAAAGGACTAAAACAGGACTAAAACAGGACTAAAACCAGGACTAAAACAGGACTAAAACAGGACTAAAACAGGACTAAAACAGGACTAAAACAGGACTAAAACAGGACTAACCAACAGGACTAAAAACAGGACTAAAAAGGACTAAAAGGACTAAAACCAGGACCAGGACTAAAACAGGACTAAAACCAGGACTAAAACAGGACTAAAACCAGGACTAAAAAACAGGACTAAAACAGGACTAAAAAGGACTAAAACAGGACTAAAACAGACTAAACAGGACAGGACTAAAACTGGACTAAAAGGACTAAACTGGACTAAAACAGGACTAAACAGACTAAAACAGGAACTAAACAGGAGGACTAAAACAGGACTAAAACAGGACTAAAACAGGACTAAAAAACTAAAAGGACTAAAGGACTGACAGGACTAAAAACTGGACTAAAAGGACTAAAACAGGACTAAACAGGACTAAAACCAGGACTAAAAACAGGACTAAAGAGGACTAAAACAGGACTAAAACCAGGACTAAAACAGGACTAAAACAGGACTAAAACCAGGACTAAAACAGGACTAAAACAGGACTTAAACAGGACTAAAAGAGGACTAAAACCAGGACTAAAACTGGACTAAAACAGGACTAAAGCAGGACTACAACAGGACTAAAAACAGGACTGAATGAGGACTAAACAAGGACTAAAGCAGGACTAAAACCAGGACTAAAAACAGACTAAATCCAGGACTAAAACAGGACTAAAACAGGACTAGAAGCAGGACTAGAAACAGGACTAAAACCAGGACTAAAACAGGACTAAAGCAGGACTAAAACAGGTCTAAACCAGGACTAAAACAGGTCTTAACCAGGACTAAAGCAGGACTAAAACCAAGACTAAAACTAGACTAAACAAGTACTAAACCAGGACCAAATCAAGACTAAACCACAACAAGACCAAAAACCAGGACTAAAACAGGACTAAAACAGGACTAGAAGCAGGACTAGAAACAGGACTAAAACCAGGACTAAAACTGCACTAAAACAGGACTAAGACAGGACTTAAACGGGACTAAAACGGGACTAAACCAGAACTAAACCAAGACTAAACCTGGACTGAACCAGGACTGAACGAACCAGTCTTGTGCTGTGTCTCTAAATGAGGGATTATGTAAATGTCGGAGTTTAGTCTCTGGTCCGTGTGTGTCTGGTCTGGTCCAGGTGCAGGTCTGGTCAGGTTCGGGTCTGGTCCAGGTGCAGGTCTGGTCCAGGTTCGGGTCTGGTCTGGTTTGAGATGCAGAATACGCGCTCCTCAGAGAGATTTCAGATCTTTGTCGTGTCTGAGTTTGTTTCCTCGGGTCACACAAACTCATCCATCAACACAAATAATTAAAGATGTCATCGTTTACGCCCAATCAAAACACACCGAGGTTTTAATCACAGACGATCAGACCCGACACCAAAACACACGCCCAAAACAACACCGAAAACACCCGAGGCTGCACCTGATCAAAAACACTCTGCTCTGGAGTTAGTGCGGTTTTATTTACCTTGATTTATTATTATTACTTTATTCTCTATATTTATTATTACTTTACTATTACTTTGTTTTATTTATGGGACTTCTGACTTTAAAATCTATCATTCCTAATGTGGAGGAGGTTAAGTCACTCACCAAATATTTCACCAAACTGTTCCAGAACATGTTACACCCGCAAGCGGCAATGACGGGCCTTTAACCCGGTTAAAGGTTGTATGGAGGATTTTTTTTTTGTTTCAAGTTGTCAGTGATAGATTATAGAGATGCAGTCGCCTTGTAATTATGATGACCAAAAAAAAGAGAATAAAAATTCATCAACTCTGGACGTGGTGGGGCTAAACATTTGCCAATAGATAACGACACTGCCTCGTTATCTGTGAGCTGACAGGCTGTCAATCAATCTCACTACGTTTCTAGTGTAACTGACTTGCCTGCGCCGCCGGTACGTGGTTTACGTACGACTGTCACACAGTCCACAGACGCAAGACGCACAGACAGACGCTGTTTACTCCACCAACGCAACAGTTCTTAGCGGCTTTTTTGACCTATATCTTCCTCGCAGTTCGCACAAAGTTTGTTGCAATGGCGACAAGAATCCAGGAGCAGTTCGCCGCAAAAAGAAAGTCCGTTTTTGAGGTCGCTGAAAGAAGAAGACAAGGGGAAAAGCAGCGAAGCCAAACTAAGGTGATTCTTGGAGATTCATTCCAGCGATGGCGCGACTGAAGCAGACGAAGGGTCTAAAGACTGAAGCACTGGTCCACAAATTACTCCTGGACAGGAAACTTCTGCTTATTATGAAAACGTACTTTATTTCCAAGAGTTAGACAAACGTTTTTCAGGACACGAAAGCGATATCCTATGTCTGAAAACGTAATTTTCAAGGCAAAGAAAGAGTCCGCTTGCTGCTGCGTGTTGTAGTTAGTTCATTCGCACTGAATCTCCGCGCAACCTTCTCTGCTCCCCTTTCCTGCTCCTGTCCCCGCTGCCCGATCCACTCTTCCCCCTGCTCCTCACTTCTCCGGGCACGGAATCTCCGCGCACCGCTCCCCTCTCCTCTCCTCTCCTCTCCCTGCTCCCTGCTCCTCACTTCTCGTCCGCGAACGAAATGTCCGCACACCCCCTCCCCCGCTCCTCACTTCTCCGTCTTGTCTAACCAACACTGTAGTTAGTTGTTTACAAGTCATGTGCACCGGCTGTAAACAAACCTGTTTCTGGCGTAAGGAGGAGGAGGGAGGAGGCGTTTCTACGTAGGAGCTGTAGGGGAGGGGGGGTGGTTTCACGCATGCGCAACATTTGAAAAAGGACAAACAGTCGCTGGATTTCTCCGTTCCTTGGAAAATCCTCTATACAACCTTTAAGTTTAGAATACTTTTAGTCGCTTTATTCGTAGCCGTAGGTAAATTTCTTTTGCAGATTGAACAGGCTGGTCTCACTTTTCACATTTCCTTCATCCACACTTTATACAATAAACATAAAAACACAGTTATAATAAAGTGTTACAGAGCTCCAGAGTGGAATGGTTTTGTTCAATCAATAATGAATTCACTTGGCTAAAAATCCATCCATTAATTTTTTTTTGTTCTTCGATTATCCGGGGAAAACAGTCTAAACGGAGACTCCCAGACTTCCCTCACTCCGGACACTTCCTCCAGATCCTACTGGGGGACCCTGAGGTGTTCCTGGGTCAGTCCAAAGACACAGGTGCACTCACTCACACTAGGACTTTAGAACTGTGTCCAAGTACGGATCGGCCCTGAAGTGACATTCGTTTGTCCAGTGTGAGCATCATCGAACCGTACTCAGGTGCAGCATGGGTGGGAGTTTGGCCTGATTGGAGGAGGTGGACCAAAGCGACACAAAGCTCATGTACACACACGACTTTACTATACGAGCCCTGTCAGGTGCTGAAGTCACTCACACGAGGAAAACGGTGAATAATAATCTGCTCCAAAACACACGGCAAACCTGCTCTCACCTTCAGTTTGGACAGTGACATTAGTTTTGCTGCGTCTCGTCTCAGGCTCTCCTCACTGCTCTGCTCTTTTTTTATCTCCATAAACTCTCGGAGGAGCGGATCATAAAAGAACACACATCAGCCTCACTGTTTAACACAGGAGAGTCAAACTCATTTTGTTCCGGGGGTCGTTTCCAACCGACTCTGATCCCAAAGTGTCCGGATCAGAAAACTCATGTCATATAAACCCCAAAAATAACAATAAGTTCAAATATTTGTGCAGAGAAACACAAATCTATT